CATCAGGTCTAAAACCAAGACTAAAACCAGATCTAAACCAGGTCTAAAACCAGGACTAAAACCAGATCTAAACCAGATCTAAACTAGGTCTAAAACCAGGACTAAAACCAGATCTAAACCAGGTTTAAAATCAGGTCTAAGCCAGGACTAAACTAGGCCTAAACCAGGTCTAAGCCAGGACTAAACTAGGCCTAAACCAGGTCTAAAACCAGGTCTAAAACAAGGACTAAACCAGGTCTAAATTCAGGTCTAAACCAGGACTAAACTAGGTCTAAACCAGGTCTAATCCAGGACTAAAACCAGGTCTAAAACCAAGTCTAAACCAGGACTAAACTAGGTCTAAACCAGGTCAAAAACCAGGGCTAAACCAGGACCAAAAACTGGACTAAACCAGGTCTAAACTCGGTCTAAAACCAGAATTAATCCAGGTCTAAAACCAGAACTAAAGCCAGGACTAAACCAAATCTAAAACCAGGACTAAAACAGAATTTAACCAGGACTAAACAATGCCCCACGTCCTTCTTTGGTCTGTGGACATGTGGAAGTGGGCTGCCAAGACCTGGAGGAAGAGGAAATTGTATCTGGAGCTGCGGGAGTTTGTTTATTTTCTTTTTTCCCGTGTTGACGTTTTTGTAGCGTAGATGTAATTAGGCGAATCTCGGAGAAGTGACAAAAGATCTCGGAGTTTGTGGATAATCTGTGTCTTTGTTTTAAAAAAGGTACAATTCAAAAACACTTAGGGAATAAAAGAAGATCTAAAAGAAACCAAGGTGAAAAGATCTTACAAGACACAATCCTCACAAATGCTGCAAGGTTATACTTTGCAAGATAAAATGTATTATTCAAACTGACTACAGAGTAAGAACCGCGCTCAAAACACGATGTCTTACTGGAAAATATGAGTTTTATCAACAAAAACAGCTTTTTTTTATACATAAAGTCACGCAACAATTTTTAAGGTGAGACTCTGCAGGTGAACAGGAAAAAAATGGCAGAAAAAACGTGAAAACTCGAACTACAAAAAAGTATATATTACAAATTAAGGCATTTTATGTGTTAAAATTTTGCATTTTTTGGGAGATTTGTGTAATGAAGCGTCACGATAAATCACTGAATTGATTTTTTCTTACCCGTCTAGTATTTTCCCACGACAGTACAAGTGTGTTTTTAGTTTGAGAGAAGAACTCGGCCTGTTTTGGACGAGGAAACAACATTATAACAACAAACTGTAGATGAGGGTCCACAACCTCCCATACGCCCGAGCGCCACGTGGACCAGGTGCTCACGCCTACGCCACACAGACCACGACTTTAAACTAAAACTAGAACTAAAACCAGGACTAAACCAGGTATAAAACCAGGACTAAATCTGGACTAAACCAGGACTAAATCTGGACTAAACCAGGATTAAACGAGACCTAAACCTAGGACTAAGCCAGGTCTAAAACCAGGACTAAACTAGGTCTAAACCAGAACTAAACCAGATCTAAAACCAGGACTAAACCAGGTCTGAAACCAGGACTTAAACCAGGACTAAACCAGATCTAAAACTAGGACTAAACCAGGTCTAAATCCAGGTCTAAGCCAGGTCTAAAACCAGGACTAAAACCAGATCTAAATCTGGTCTAAAACCAGGTCTAAAACCAGGTCTAAACCAGGTCTAAAACCAGGTCTAAATCAGGACTATACCAGGACTAAATGAGACCTAAACCCAGGACTAAACCAGGTCTAAAGACAGGACTAAACCAGGTCTGAAACCAGGACTTAAACCAGGACTAAACCAGATCTAAAACTAGGATTAAACCAGGTCTAAATCCAGGTCTAAGCCAGGTCTAAAACCAGGACTAAAATCAGATCTAAATCTGGTCTAAAACCAGGTCTAAAACCAGGTCTAAACCAGGTCTAAAACCAGGTCTAAATCAGGACTATACCAGGACTAAACGAGACCTAAACCCAGGACTAAATCCAGGTCTAAAACCAGGACTAAAACAGGTCTAAGCCAGGTCTAAACCCACGTCTAAACCAGGTCTAAAACCAGAACTAAACCAGGTCTAAAACCAGCTCTAAACCAGGTCTAAACCCAGGTCTAAGTCAGGTCTAAAACCAGGTCTAAACCAGGACTAAATCTAGGACTAAACCAGGTCTAAACCAGGTCTAAACCAGGTTTAAAACCAGGACCAAACCAGGATTTAACCAGGACTAAACAATGCCTCACGTCCTTCTTTACGTCTCTGGTTCGTGGAAATATCGTCGAACATAAAATCATTTGAGGACCACAGCTGTAAATCCCAGAATCCTGTAACACGGCTCCTTTAAACGTTACAGTACTGGGACTAAATTCTCCGATTTTTACCCCACTCTGAAATCCTCCATCTTGGACGATCAAGAACGACCTCATCGCGCCGCGGCCCTTCTGTCGGCGGCGTTCGGCGTCTCGCTCGTGGCTCGGCTGCTTCCCGCCGTAATGCCGTAAATGACTTTGACCTTTTCCCGGAGACGGCGGACGGAGAAAAGGATGTGGAGCCCGGGCCGGCGAACAGAGGGAGTGGGCGTGTGGCGGTAATAAACGACAGAGGCGGTGGGCGGCGGGCGATGCTTAATAGAAGACAGAAGGGAGGGGTCAGCGGGGGTCGGGCGCTCGGCGAATGCCAAAGGTGACGCGAGCCGGGAGCGCGGGCCGGCTTCATTAGCGAGCTTCTGATGTGACGTACGTATCGAGTGGAAGCTAATGATGCAGCGGAGAGAGTAATTACAAGATATGCTCGTATTAATTGAAAAGTCTTTACGCCCAAGCACGGTTTTCAGAGACTCCGGCTTTTACGTGTGTCGCTGTGTAATTAATATAACTATCAAAATAACTTTGAATTTTAAAAAATTCAAAAAACAAAAACTGACTGAACGGAGTGAACCAGGACTAAAACAAGTATAAAACAATTCTAAACCAGGACAAAAACAAGACTAAACTAGGACTAAAACAAGACTGAAACAGCACAAAAACAGGACTAAACCAGGACAAAAATAGGACTAACCCAGGACTAAAACAGGACTAAACCAGGGCTGAAACAGGACTAAAATATGACTAAACCAGGACTAAAACAAGACTAAACCAGGGCTGAAACAGGACTAAGATATGACTAAATGAGGACTAAAACAGGACTGAAACAGGACTGAAACAAGATTAAACCAGGACTGAAACAGGACTAAAATATGACTAAATGAGGACTAAAACAGGACTGAAACAGGATTAAACCTGAATTGAAACAGGGCTAAACCAGGACTTAAACAAGGGTAAATCAGGAGAAAAACAGGACCTAAACTAAACTAAACCAGGACTGAAAGAAGAGTAAATCAGGACAAAAATAGGACTAAAACAGGACTGAAACCAAACTAAACCAGGACTGAAAACAGGACTAAACCAGGACTGAAACAGGACAAAAACCAGGACTGAAACAGGACTAAAACAGGATTAAAACAGGATTAAAGGTGACGCGAGCCAGGAGTGACGTACGTATCGAGTGGAAGCTAATGATGCAGCGGAGAGAGTAATTACAAGATATGCTCGTATTAATTGAAAAGTCTTTACGCCCAAGCACGGTTTTCAGAGACTCCGGCTTTACGTGTGTCGCTGTGTAATTAATATAACTATCAAAATAACTTTGAATTTTATTGTGGTGAATCTGTGTGACATTTGTTGATTCGTTTTTCAAAATAAAAGCAAAAATAAGAATATTAAAAAAAAATTATTTGTCTCCATAACGTATTTGTTTTTGATTTTGTGTTTAAATGATTAGCGGGAAAAAAACAAAACAAAAACTGACTGAACGGACTGAACCAGGACTAAAACAAGTATAAAACAATTCTAAACCAGGACAAAAACAAGACGAAACCAGGACTAAAACAGGACTGAAACAGCACAAAAACAGGACTAAACCAGGACAAAAATAGGACTAAACCAGGACTAAAACAAGACGAAAACAGGACTAAAACAGGACTGAAAACCGAACTAAACCAGGACTGAAACAGGACTAAACCAGGACTAGGACTAAAACGGGACTGAAAAACCAGGACTAAAACAGGACTGAAAACACCAGGAACTAAAACCAGGACAAAAACAGGACTAAACCAGGACTGAAACAGGACTAAACCAGGACTAAAAACAGGACTAAAACATGATTAAACCAGGACAAAAACAGGACTGAAACAGGACTAAACCAGGACTGAAAAACAAGACTAAACCAGGACTGAACTAGGACTAAAACAGGAATGAAACAGGATTAAAACAAGACTAAACCAGGATAAAAACAGGACTGAAACAGGACTGAACTAGGAGGACTAAACAGGACAAAAACAGAACTAAACCAGGACTAAAACAGGACTGAAACAAGAGTAAACCAAGACTGAAACAGGACTGAACTAGGAGGACTAAAACAGGACTGAAACAGGACTAAACCAGGACTAAACTGGTCTCAGTCCTGGTCTTGGTCCCACTATTTTTCAGTCTTTGTCTGGGCCAAGACGGTTACAGAGAAGTTAACAGCCGATAGAGCTTATGAGATCGTTTTTCTTCACTAGTTTTGCCAAAGTTGCTGTCGTCAGCTGAGTGGAAATAACGTCACATCATTTCCGCAGAAAAAAAACAAATGAAACAAATGAAAATGGTCACAGCACAAAACAGCACAAATGAAATAAAAATGTTTTGTATGATTTTCTGCTTGTTTTGAGGCTATTTAACACACCAAACAGCACAAACAAAGCACAAAGTATTGACACCATTTTGGGACATTTTTGAGCATTTTGAAGCTTCCCGGGGCCTGGCTGACCACAATTTGACCTTTAAAAGAATTGTTAATATCTCAAAAACTAAAGCAGCACAAACGAAACTTTTTACAGCACAAAACGGGCATGAACGATTGACATACTTTTTGTGTTTTCCGCTACCACTTCTGTTTTCCCGTGTTCTCGTGCGATCTAACGTTTTCTGTGTACGTCTTTGTCTTGCAGGAGCGGGGAAAGATCGGCGTGATCTTCAACGTGGGAACGGACGACATAGCCATCGAGGAGAGCGCGGTGATGGTGAGCGACGGCAAATACCACGTGGTGCGGTTTACGCGCAGTGGTGGCAACGCGACGCTACAGGTGGACAACCAGCCCGTCATAGAACGTTTCCCGTCAGGTAGGAGCGAGCGCCCGAGCCAACGTCTGCTGTTTGAGAAGTGATTTAACACTGTTTATGTCGCACTTTGGGGAGAGAATAAAGCACAGTAAAGTCACTGACGAACTGCTGAATAAACGAGAAATATTCACTCACATTTAAAAGTTTGGACTCACCCTCTCAGTCAATGTTTTATTTTCTGTATGTTTACGACTTTCTGCGTTTTATACACGCAAAAAAGACACCAAATATATAAATGTTAGTCCTGGTTAAATCCTGGTTTAGACCTGATTTTAGTCCTGGTTTAGTCCTGGTTTAGTCCTGGTTTAGTCCTGGTTTAGACCTGGTTTAGACCTGGTTTAGTCCTGGTTTAGATCTGGTTTAGACCTGGTTTTGGTAGGGATTTTAAGCCTGACTTTAGTCCTGGTTTAGACCTGGTTTAGTCCTGGTTTAGACCTGGTTTTAGTCCTGGTTTAGCCCTGGTTTTAGTTCTGGTTTAGACCTGGTTTTGGTCCTAGTTTTAGTCGTGGTTTAGACCTGGTTTTTGTTTTGTTTTAGTCCTGGTTTAGCCCTGGTTTTAGTTCTGGTTTTAGTTCTGGTTTAGTCCTGGGTTTAGTCCTGGTTTAGTCCTAGTTTAGTCCTGGTTTAGACCTGGTTTTAGTCCTGGTTTAGTTCTGGTTTTAGTCCTGGTTTAGTCCTGGTTTAGTCCTGGTTTAGTCCTGGTTTAGACCTGGTTTTAGTCCTGGTTTAGCCCTGGTTTTAGTTCTGGTTTAGACCTGGTTTTGGTCTTAGTTTTAGTCCTGGTTTAGCCCTGGTTTTAGTTCTGGTTTAGTCCTGGTCTTAGTTCTGGTTTAGTCCTGGTTTAGTCCTGGTTTAGACCTGTTTTAGACCTGGTTTTAGTCCTGGTTTAGTTCTGGTTTAGACCTGGTTTTAGTCCTGGTTTAGTCCTAGTTTAGTCCTGGTTTAGACCTGATTTTAGTCCTGGTTTACGTTCTGGTATTGTTCTGGTTTTAGTTCTGGTTCAGTCCTGGTTTAAGTCCTGGTTTTAGCCCTGGTTTTAGTCCTGGTTTAAGTTCTGGTTTAGTCCTGGTTTTAGTCCTAGTTTAGCCCTGGTTTTAGTCCTGGTTTAGTCCTGGTTTAAGTTCTGGTATTTTTCTGGTTTTAGTTCTGGTTCAGTCCTGGTTTAGTCCTGGTTTTAGTCCTGGTTTTAGTCCTGGTTTAAGTTCTGGTTTAGTCCTGGTTTTAGTTCTGGTTTAGTCCTGATTTTAGTTCTGGTTTAGTCCTGGTTTTAGGTTTAGTTTAGTCCTGGTTTTAGTCCTAGTTTAGCCCTGGTTTTAGTCCTGATTTAGTCCTCGTTTAGTCCTGGTTTAGACCTGACTTTAGTCCTGGTTTAGACCTGGTTTAAGTCCAGATTTTAGTCTTGGTTTAGTCCTGGTTTTAGTTCTGGTTTAGTCCTGGTTTTAGTTCTGGTTTAGTCCTGGTTTTAGTTTTAGTTTAGTCCTGGTTTTAGTCCTAGTTTAGCCCTGGTTTTAGTCCTGATTTAGTCCTCGTTTAGTCCTGGTTTAGACCTGGTTTAAGTCCAGATTTTAGTCTTGGTTTAGTCCTGGTTTTAGTTCTGGTTTAGAGGTTCAGCCCACGCAGCGTAAACAAGTCAAAAACGGCGACGCTCCAAACTATGAGAAGGTTTTCAGAACGCCGTGATCAAAAAGTATCGGACTGACGGTGTGACTGTACAACGTTACGTCCCTACAAATTAGCCACCCTTAGCTTTGTCAAAAAAATATTTAATCGCATTAGTTAACTTTTTTCTTCACTAAATAATTCTTGTTTTATACATTCGCTGTCTTCTCTTTGCATCTAAAATGTCGTAAGTAATAAGAAACAAACATTGAGCGAGACGGTGTGTCCAAACTTTTGACTGGTGTCCAAACGAAATGGCGCGACGAACATTTAAGCTAACGTTAAATGCTAGCGCTAATCACTAAACGCGCCATTATGGATATGGAATTACCTGACGACTTTTTTTAATTCTGATGTTACATAACGGCGCTTTATTCATCTCCACTGTGCTCAGATTATTACCGGTTGTTCAAAGGAAGACGTTTTATGGCTGGCCAATGCTAAACGCGGCTCTGTCAGGCACTATTTCATAATACAAAAATTATTACGCCACTAATGGGTTTTGCTCTCGGGCTGCGAAAGACAATTAAAATAATTTGTTTTTGCAACATATTTCTGGCCTTGGTGTTTGCGGTCCGGAATACAGAGGAGTGAAGCCCGTTGGAGTCTGAAATAAACCGAGCGAGGCCTTCAACGGTCAATAAAGATTTGAGTTACAGACCATTTTCTACAGAATTTCAGATAAATATTTGATTTTTTTTCAGTCTTTTTGTGCCTTTTTTGTTAAACATATCAAAGTAAATGTTAGAATGAAATGAATTCTGTCACCATTACCGGAATTCTTACAGTTTAACTCTTTCCCACATGAAGACGACGTTTGACGACCGCCCTTGTATCTTTAATCGTGATCATGATTTGGCGCCGCTTTAGAGGATTTCGAAGCTTCCCGGGGGCCGGCTGACCCTAATTTGATCTATAAAAGAATTGTTAATATCTCAAAAGCTAAAAGCAGCCGCAACAAAACATTTTACAGCACAAATGATTGACAGTTTTTGTGTAGTTGTGCGTTTAATGACGTTTTTTGACACCTCCGCTACAGACGTGATTTGACGACCATTAGAAACGGTTTCGGTTTTTCACATGTAAACGGAGGCTGCGATAGGTGGGGGCCACAACAACCCACACTAAGCTGACCAATAGGATTCAAGGAAACGTTTTCGCCGATTTTTCCCAAAGTTAATTCGAAGTAGTGACGATTGTAGCTTCCGGAAAAAACACAACACGGAACACGAGCAGTGGAAAGATTGTGGCGCATAGTTTCAGAAATATGAGGAGCAGACGTATTTTATGGTTAAGTTTTGAATAAGTGATGATGAAGTTGATTGTAGTCAGTTAGTTTTGCTCAGTAGTTCACTAATGCGTCGTCGTTCGCCTTTACGTTTTCATCTTTCTTCCCTGGACAGTTGTGGATAAAATCTTCAGGGTAGAATGTTTATCCTTTGTGAACCTTGTTGGTTGAAGATTTCCACAGATATTTTGCCATAGAAAAGCATTAACGTAAGTGAAGTTCACTCGACATCGCTGCACTTTCAGCCATTGTAAAAAAAAAAAAAAGGTCTATACTGAATTATAAATATTACTTTCTCGAAAGGAAGTAGTCCGTTTTTTTTTCTAGAGCAGTGCGGCGGGTTCCAACCTTTTTTGTCTTGAGTACCTCTTTATCGTTGTCTCACACTCTTGAATACCTTCCAAAATCCGGTACCAGAATCTTAAGTCATTAATTAAGTGTTTTTAGTACAATGCTGATTATAACTATGATATTTTCTTGTTCTAATAAGGATGTAAAATCTACTACAAAGAATAATTCGCATTCAAATACCATTCAGGACAGCCTTTCTTTTAAATCCGAAATCATTCCAAGTACCCCCCGGCATGTCCTTGCCTACCTCCAGGGGTCCCCGTACCCCTGACTGGGAAACAGTGTTCTAGCGCAGCCAAAGAGCTACTTATTTTACCGGTTACAAGAAACTTTTTATTTATTTATTTGAGACAGGGACAGCACACAATTTTCGCATTAACCTTGACAGGAGAGATGTATTGTACATCAGGTTGTAGCATCAGTGCTAACTTCCACCTGTAGTCCCTGGACAGGTTCATTGATTGATTGTATTTAACTGACCTTGACTATCAACCGTTCTGGAGACCTGTAGCATGTTTTTTTTGGGTTGATGGGGGAAACCATCCAGACACAGGGAGAAACATGCAAACTCCACACAGAAAAGCCCTGGGTGACCTGGGGATCGAACCCAGAACCTTCTTGCTGTGAGGCATGAGTGCTAGCCACTCAGCCACCGTGCCGCCACTGAGCGTAGGAAAGCTTTAGATGGGGAACAGTTCAATACCTATAAAACATAAACCTTTATCTATACTTAAAATAAGAAACAAAATCAAAACAAACTTATTCCACTGGTAGATAATTTTACTTGTCAAGTTGAATCGACTCAAATAAAGTCAAATGTTCATTTTAACTTACTTAGATATAGATTTTTCCAGTCTATTTAAATGAAATATTTATATTTATATTAAAATTATGACGTATTTACATTTGCCGCAGAATTTCCGTGACATCAACGCACGCGCAGAGTTCTGTAGCGCAGTTAAGGACAGAAAAATGTCTTATGTTAAAGTACGAAAAGCTGACAGAGAGTGCCGAGTTTTCAAAGAACAGTGGACGATCGATTGTTTTTTATTCAGTGTAAGGACCGTGCGGTTTGTCTGATATGTAAAGAAAGTGCGGCGGTTTTCAAAGAACATAATCTGCGTCGTCAGGGTCGTACAATGCTGTTATACGACCGACCCGACCGCAGCCCTCAGAGAAAAAAGTTTGGTGACCCCTGCTTTAAGAAATAGATTGTGCACCGTTGCAAATCACGTGTAAGAAATTAGGATTCTTACAAATCTAGAAACAACCTTGCCTTCTAATATAGGATCATTTCTTTTCTTTTTTTTAAAACTCTGATCTGTTTCCTCCGTTGAGACGTCGCCGCGGCAGAAGTCCTACATCTAGGTCGTAACAGTCTTTCAACTTTAGTCACCCTCTTCTCCTTCTCCGCTTGTCTTCGTTCGTTTGGTTCTGTCACTCTCCCCCTCTCGCTCGTCTCCGTCTCGTGGAAGTTTTTTTTTTTTCGCTTTGCCGACGCACGACATCCCAGTTTCCCCCGGACGCTAACTGCAACTTTCAAAACAAGATCTTCAAAGCACACAACCCCCGAAAATAGTTCCGAGCGCGCATCCAGTTCTCATAAATGAATCAAAAGCATTATTTCGTGACAGTCTCTTTGGCTTTCTCGGAACTGAAGACGCGCCGACGGGCCTTGGGCGGGTAAACAATCGACATGTGA